ATTACTTTCTTCAATTCAAAGATTCATGTTTTAGCCTTTTTGTTTTCTAAATATTTAGGTATTTTTATATTTTTTTTATACATGGATTTATTGTAGTTTTGTTATCCGAAGTATACGTTATCTTCTTTTACCCGTCATTTCATGTCTAAATATTTGAAATAAACAGGAAAGTGGAAATTAAATTTAGCAATTTAAATTACATGTCCCCGTATCGTACTCGTAGTTTTATATTTGAAAGTTGAAAGTGAATTTAACTTTATGACCGTGTCTCATAACAATTATATCTAATCATGTTTTTTTTATGAGAAATAATTCAGATAATATTTGTTTTCGAATTATATGTTCCCGTCTCGTATGCATTCCTATAATTTTATATATATTTTTTTAAATAAATAACACCATTTACATGTAACTAAATATATTTTTAATATAGGTAAAATTTCATATAATCGTCTAAAAGTAGAGATTTATACTCCCCAAAGTTGAATTTTGTTCAATATTTTGAGATTTTGAGAATTAAATATAACTACCAATTTTTTTTATTTCAACCGGTTATCCAAAAATTATCCCTATTATAGTAAAAGAGAAGTACAAAAGTGTAAACGGGTCGGGTCAATTAAAAATATAACCCGTAAACTTTAATTATATCATTTATATCATACCAATTTGACATTTTATTTGTTTTCAGTTAGATTAAATCATAAAAATATAATCCATTTATTATTTAAAAATTGGTAATAAGTCGTTCAAATCATTTAAATGTGATATATCCAATTGTTATTTAGTTTTAATCATTTGTGGTAATAAGTCGTTAAAATCATTTAAATGTTTTATGATTTGATAAAACAATTCTTTAATATTTGATAATAGTATTGATATGCAAATTGCCAATGGATGAAGATTTATTTTGTTAAGATTGTGTGAAATTAATAAGAAAAAAGAAGTTTAGAATAATCATTAATTAACTGCTTGACCAAATAGAAAATCATTAACTAATTGAATTAATGATAAATTTTGTAGATATCTTTTATGCTATAATTGCTAGATTGCTTTTTGAATATGAATATTTTTTTTATGTGAAAATAAGAAATTTATGTGATGTAGAATGTTTATTCCCATGATTTTAGCAAACAAATATTTAATTATCGATTTATTTAAATCTTATTTATATTTTAAAATTATATAATTTTTTTAAATTTGATGATATGATCAGTTATGTATATATATACTATGTGGAATTTGATTAGTTGATGATTTCATAAGCTAACATATTTTTTTTATCTTTTTTTATATTTCTAAAAAAATGTTATATTTGTTTTTTAGATATATGATGTTTTTGTTTTATTAGATTTCATTCTATATAAATTATTAATTTCGAAATTATATTAAAATATTAAATTAATATTAGATATGTTTATATATATTCAAAATAGATATGTTTATATATATATATTTAATTTTGAATTTAATTGTCCAGTTTTTATGGTAAAAGATTATTATGATTTTCATAAATATAGATAGTTGTTTTTTTGTTTTTTTGTTTTGCTGTCATTAATTCTGTTTGGCAACGATGTTTGGCTTAAAGTTGTCATTCGCAATTAATAGTATAGATCGACAAAGAACATATACAAGTGGAGAAGAAGAAGAAAGTAGCAGAAGCAGTGATGGTGCGAGCTTCATCGTCGAAGAAAGGAGGAGCCAAAGGAGGAGGAGACAAAGAAGATGCAGAGTCGAAACAGAGGAAGAGACTGAAAACCCTAGCTCTCGATAACCAATTGCTCTCTGATTCTCCGGCGAATTCTCATTCCTCTCTCAAACCTTCAAAGCAAGTTCTGAAACACCATGGTGCCGACATCATCCGCAAGTCTCATCGCAAGAATCGCTTTCTCTTCTCTTTCCCTGGTCTTCTCGCTCCTATCTCCGGCGCCACCATCGGCGATCTCGATCGTTTGTCTACGAAAAACCCTGTCCTTTACCTCAATTTCCCCCAGGTTAGATCTCAAATTTGGTATCTTTTTGGCATTACTGCTGCTTCTGTGTTCTGAATCGTTGGAAAGTTTGGTTCTTTTTAGGGTCGCATGAAGCTTTTTGGAACGATTTTGTATCCCAAGAACAGATATTTGACTCTTCAGTTCTCTAGAGGAGGCAAAAACGTCTTATGTGATGATTATTTTGATAATATGGTCAGTCTCTTCTCCTTCCACCTTTTTTATAGTTACTCTCTTACTCTTGGGACTGTAGCTTGACTCTAGAGGAGCATTTTGGTTATGCACATAGATTGTGTTCTCTGAGTCATGGTGGATTGGGACAAAAGAGGAGAATCCTGACGAAGCTCGTCTTGATTTCCCTAAAGAACTGGTTCAGGTTGTTACATTTTCTCTCAAGTCTATTGTTATCACAGAGATGTTGTTGATATGATAAAGAGGATTCTTTGGTTTCAGGCAGAGAAGACGGAGTTTGATTTCCAAGGCGGTGCTGGAGGAGCAGCTTCAGTCAAGACGCTGTCGACTCCGGAAACTGGTAGCCAACCAACAGAGACAGACTCACCTGATGTTGACATGGAGGATGTTTTGTCTGAGGATGGAGAATTCTTGGACGATAAGATTCAAGTAACACCACCAGTTCAACTAACACCAGTCCGACAATCTCAGAGAAATTCTGGGAAGAAATTCAAGTATGATCCTTACAACTTCTTCACTTACAAGTTAAAATGTGAGCTAGTGATGATATCTCTGCGATGGAGTTTGATGAGTTTGATGAGTTATTGGATTTAAAGCGAATCACTTTCTGTTCATTTGATTTGTAATTATCTCTATGATGCTGCTAGTTTCTGTGTTAGCCTCTATTTGGCTTCTCTGTTTCATTCTCCTAGCTAAGATCTGTAGTTTTCCATTGATGAGGTATTTGAGTAGTATTACGTTTAACAGCCTTTCTTTAAACCTATCCTGCAGCTTTGCAGAAACTTCTCCAGAGAACTCCTCTGATAAAAGTGAAGGCAATACATCTGATGAAGATGAGGAACCTCAGTTGAAACCTGAATTTTCAAAAAGACGTCGCGAGGAATCTCAAGATGCTACTACAGCATCAGCAAGCAAGTTGCCTACAGAACTTCCGGCCAAAAAGGAAAAATCAAAGTGCAAAGACAGTAAGCTAGTTCAAGCTACAGTCTCTAACCTTTTCAAGAAAGCTGAGGAGAAAACAACTGGAACTTCCAAGGCGAAATCATCATCAAAAGCTTAAAGAACTCTTTCCCAGAAGAAATAGATGTCTGTTGGTTCTTTGCTGTGAGAATGAAGAGTTTTTAGTTTTTTTAGTTATGTTTGTGTGAGACGAGAAATGAGCAATTGCTACAAGACTGATGATTATATTGCACAAAGCAAGAATTGGATAATGGATTTATCATGCTTAATGGATTGTTTGTGTTTAATCACTCTGCTCATATTAATACACCAATCCGTCTCTCATGTATCTATACTGAGTGATCAAGACAATATACCTATTGTATCATTGTTTTCAAAATTGAAACATCATACACTTTACTTCATACAGATCCATCTCATTGTGCTTTGAAAAAACTAACACTTGACTTCTCAACAGATCCGTCTCATTAAGCTTTAAAAAACTATGGGGATCCTTGCAGGAACTTGTCGACTCTATGATTAGTTGCAGCTGAAAGAAACTTCATGCAAATAGGAGGTTTGACTCCAGCTATAGCAAGCACTGAACTTGGCAAAGTCCAGATTCCATCTCCACATATCAATCCTGAAGCCACTGCTGTTGCAAAAGCTTCAGCGTTTGGCGCATTTAATCTCTCCCAGACAAACAAAAGAAAACTCCCCACACACATGTCAATTGCAAAGTAAGGCCCTAAGAAAAACGGTATAGCCATAGCCATTGGAAGAGGAACAAACCTTCCCCACCTGTTACCAAGACCGTCCTTTACTACGTTAATGATTATGGCTATACCGAAAAACGCATAGCACAGGACAAGACAGTCTCTTGGTAGAGACGAGACGCCTTCAACCCCGAGTTTAGCCATACTTCTGTACACAGTAGCAAACGGTGCAGGGTATTCACTGTTTGGGAGGCCGAGATCATCAAACGCCTTGTAGAAAAGCCAGAACACGCAGGGTGAAACAACGCAGCCCATTGCTGTTCCGATCACTTGGCTCACAAACATGGCCCTTGGAGATGACAATGTTAGGTAACCTGTCTTGAAATCCTGCGTCAGGTCTGAAGCTGTAGATACTATGTTCATCATGACTCCACAAGCTGCTAAGCCTGCCAGAAGACCTCCATGATCCGAACCAGCCCATGCTCCAATTGTAAATATGGCGAGCTTTCCATAGGTTGATGCTAGTGACCAATCAGTGAGTCCAGCTCCATAAGCATTGCAGAAAGCTAAGATAGGAGCAAAGACATAAATGACCAGAATGTAGTACCATCGCAGCTGAGAGAACATGTGAGGGAGTATAGCTGTAGATACTGCAGATATAGCCACATAGCCTCCAACAGCTAACCAAGAAGGTATTTGGTCCTTGAGGAAGAATCTTGTTCGGCGTTGGTCGTCATAAGATATCTTTGGGGTCAATGGGGAAGCAGGAGGGTCTTCTTCGCGTGCAAGAGAGGTTGTTCTTGAACCAGCTTTACCTCGGATCTGCGAGACTAGTCCTGAAAGGGTTCGGGTCAGCACCTTGCAAAAGTTGTATAAACCATCTCCTAAGATCATAGCGACAGCTATGAACACCTGAAGAAGCGAAAGGAAAAGTGTTTCAGCAGAAGCGGCATACTAAGAGAGTGAGTGATAGAGGAGTTTACCTTGTAAGCTTGAAGACCGCTCATGCTGCTAGAGTCAACATTAGAAGGGAACCAATCTCCTTTTCTGGTTTCAATGAGAGGCCACATTAGTCCCCAAGAGAGAATTCCACCCAATAGAAGAGAGATGTTGATTATGTACGGGCATATCATACCAACACCCACATATGTTGCTGAAAAATCAAAGTAGAACCTGTCGAGACAATAAAATCAGCTGATGAGCCAAAGACAAGACAACAAACCAGTTTATGAGCTAAAAAGACAATGCCTCAGGTAATATCATAATGCTTACTTATATTGGTAAGCTTTGAGTCCAAAAGTAGGGAAGCTGTTAAACCCACAATTTTCACCTGCAGTAAAGAACCATTGGAAGAAACCCCAAAAGAAGCTCAAGGAGAAGAATTTCCCCAACACCCGGACTTGTTTCCTGATACAGAGAGCACAAGTCAATAAGCACAGAACTCAAAAAAATGTTAGATTAAACCTACGAAACTGAAAGTGTCATACTTGGCAAGCTTTGCCCCTTGAGGAGTATGAAAGCTGTTGATAAGATGAGCAGTTGCAGTGCCACTTGGGTATGGTAGTTTGAAGTCTATTATCATTATCTGCAAACACAAATTGGTAACTGTAAGAATTACATCAGTAGCTCAATATCTCTTTCACAGGAGAAGAAGAAGAAGAAGAAGAAGCAGAAGCAGAATCAAAACCTTTCGAAGAGGAACAACAGAGAAGAGGCCAAGAAAGCTGACAACAAAGAGGAAAGCTATAATCCAACCCAAAGAAGGGTCCTTAACGCCACGGAAAGCATCTCCTGATTGGTCAGCTATTCGTTGGCTCATTGCAAATAGGTAAGTCCCAAATCCTCCTATTGCAATTAAATTTAATAAAACAAACCAGAAAAAGAAGGGTCAGGTGAATTATGTGTGAATGAAGAAGACCTCAAAGGTTTTGTCTTTTTATAAGAAAAAAGGTCACAAATCAAGAAAAAACATGACTTCTTTTAGATGGGGTTCTTGTTTCTATTACCGCTAAAGGCAATGCCTGAAGAAGCAACTACACAAGTCTGAATAACGGTGTTCTCTTGTCTGGTAAAGGGTTGTTTCAAAAGACCAGATTTATGAAGCATCTTAGTCCATGTCTTGACGAAGAAGAACCCCAAAAGACCAGCAGAGACATTGAGGGAAGGGATGATCCCTGTTGTGAGGTTAAGCTTCATCACAATGAAGCTAAACAAAATGCTTAGCGCAAAGCTAACCACAAAAGCCCTAATTGTTAATTGCTTCTTCCACGAAGGAACCTCTCTGCTTTCGAATATCCCCTCCACAGATTCTTCCAGTTCCTCTGTTTCATCTTCTTCTTCTCTTTGGTATTCTCTAACATTCTTGTTGTTCCTCTTAATCCTCCTCTCTGTTTCAGGACTAATCCCAGTTTCTTGCAACTCATGTTCCTCAATCTGACGATCTCTGTCAGGGGTTAAAGAACCCTTTCTCATTCTTTACACTTTAGATCTGCGAGATGAGATGAGAGAGAGATGGTGAACAAACAGGAAGAAGAAGAAGAGAAGTATTATTGTAATTAGGGACAGAGGAAGATTTTTCAGAGTGAGTCAACTAAATTAAATGACTTTTTCATCTCTCCCAGACAATGGTATAGTTTAACTACTTTTTCACTTCCTTCTTTTTTGGTCAAATCACTTTTTTTTCTTAAGGCTCTTGTTGTCGTTATCTGTGACTCATTTCTAAGAAATTGCCTTTTTAGATCTTATTTTGTCCATTTATGGATCTAATTACTAGTATATCCTGTTTTAAATATAGTGAGATTATATGTATTTATGTGCATACCACTAATTGAATATATCCTTTTAGTTAGATATGAAGTTTGGGAATTTCTGATTTTGACAAAATTTCTTATAAAGAAGATTTGACAACGTAAATTTTTTTTTTTAACGAAAACAACATAAATCTTAAAATTTTAAAATCAGCAACTTAGTCTTTTTCAATTGAATAACTCATTAATGATAATACTGAAAAACATGTTAAGAGGGATTATTATAAAAGAGAGAGGGTTAAGTATCAAAATTCAAGTAGTAAGTTATTACTAATATAAAACAGAATTTAACGTCTTTTAATTTATTTCTTACTTTGAATATGTTTATGTCACATAAACTGAAAGAATCATGTTAAATACATGATTTCAAACGTTATTTTATTTTAATTGTAACATGATTTAATACTTTATCTAAAAAAATTTCTTTCAATTCCGTAGTTGAAATGAAACATATATGGCTCATGTTTTCTTTTGTTTTGGAAATTTGTTATTCTTGTCATATTTCCATAAAGTCGGATTTTTTACCGAGTTTTGCTATTTTCTCACTTAAATCTTATAAAATCCTATTTTCACTCAATTTTTGTGGATTTGCCATTTTTAAGTTTTTTTTTCTTTCTAATGTGTGTGTTTTATGATTCTCTAAAATACATATTTCATAACAAATACTTAACACTAAGAAAAAATGGAACAAAAAACCATACATAATGAAAAATGCAAAATCTAAAATATTTAAGGTAAAATGGCAAAAACTATAAATGACATTGAAAAACTCTTTTATCTGGTAATTAACTCCACAAAGTTTCATTCCAAAGTTTCATTTGACCACCCTTATCTACATGTAATCAATATAAATAAATTTAGTATAATCAATCAAATTTCAAATCATACAAACACAATTCTCTATTTTAGCACAAATTTATAAATGTACTTATTCTTACAACTACATAAAAATTTTAAATAGTTTTAGGTAATCCTCTATTTCCCATCCCAAAATGGCATATTCCTCTAGAGAAAATGATGCCAATACAAAAAAAAAAAGTCTCAAAAAAATAAGAAAAAAAAATAAGCATAAAATAAAATAAGATCTATCTAGTCTACTACTACATGTGAGGAGGACCACCACACTTTGTCCAAGTTTACGAATCTCTTTGAAAAGTTGATTGAAGAACAAAAATAATTTAGTCATCTTTTTATGGTACAACAAACATGACACAACGGCTACTTGACCAAATCTAGCATCATCAACTATTCTCATTTATCTATCTCTACACGTGTTTCTATTGTTCACTCCAAACAAAGAAAAAACAAATGGTCCTTTTTGCAAACAGAGAGTTGTGGCTAAGATCAACTCTTTAAGGAAAACAATTACACTTATGCAACCAATCATGTATTTTGTGTGTTCATTCATCTTCAAATAGTTTTCAATCTCTATAGTTAAGTTTTAGTTAAACAAGCAGGTCTTACTTTGCAAATCTCAACATTAAATCCTGAATCCATTAGAAGTAGGAGCCAAGCTCGTTGCTGTTCCGATAACCTATCTCTCTCTGATTTCACTTCCACAAGCTTAGCTTCACCTTCATGACCATTCTCCTTGAACCGCCATATTAGCAGATCAGGCATTCCACTGCACCAGCTCCTATAGTCTTGAGCTAAGTGCCGGCACAGAGATGCTACACACATACCTCCAACACAAGCCACTGCTGCTCTTAGTTCCTCTAATGAAAACCGCTCCCAAGCCACTCCTCTGCATGCTGTTCCGCGGTGTGTTTCATATGATATGATTAGTATTTCTTCAGCCATTCCGTTTGCAACTTTCTCTAGCTGAGATTCTATCATTTCCTTCCTGGTTAGATAGAAGGATTCAGTCTCTAAGTCCAATGGAGCGGTCTGCACAAGGGGAACATAAAACAGAATGAGGACTTTCATTTTCCTTGCGTGAGGACAACTAGCGATCTTTCACTCACCTGGAATCGGGTTTGGAAAACACCCGGGACATCGGAAAATAGAATGTCCCACATGAGAAGCCCGAAAATTGTTAACCAAATACTACTCTCTGTATGAATCCCTTGCCATCCTCCTCCTTCTCCACTGTAATACTGTAATGCGAGCTGCTCCACTCCACATTGTTCTCCGTCTTCCCCATAAAACCTATTTTTCATGCCAACTTCACAATTCAATGATCTCCCTTGAATGGTAACCTGAAATGCAAAATTGCACATTTGAAGTAGAAGAAGAATTGTATTCTCTATTTTGTCCCACTTTGGATTAGAAGAGTAACCTCAGGGATCTTGTTTTCGACGAGATTTGAAAAACTGGGAGTTTTCCAGCGTCTTGGAGGTTTTGCCAGACGAAGAATGCGTCTTTGCAAAGCTACTCTTGAACCAGCACGCACCCAAGGATCCAATAGTCCTTGCTCTGCTACTACAAGGCTCTCATTTGGGCGTCCCATGTGCTCCAAATCTGTTGATAACCTGACTGTCCAATATCCTCGTCTCCTGTCACAATGGAAACAACTGAGCAACCGCCTCAGTAGATAGGCTGCTTGGTTGTACCTGCAACCACATACACAAGTTTCAACAAGCAAAAAGACAAAGATAATCTGTACAAGTCAAAAACAAGGTAAGTGTTTTTGACATGCCTCTTGTGGTTCTCAAGAAAGGAGACTCCTAAAAAAACCACCTTTGAGTAAACCCATGGAGCAGTAAAGCAGTTAAAGGCAGCAAGCTGCGCAGGATCCAAAGACGAACTGAATATGCGGGTTTCAGAAATCATGATGCATTTCAGCACTGTCCGAGAATCCTCACTGTCAAGAGATTCATCCATCAGCTGAGCCACTTCAATGGCCTGTAATTGAAGCTTTGAGATACAGTAGACAAACGAGCCTGTTTTTTTTTATAGACAAGTAAAGACCTCTTCATATGCTAGAAGCTTTGTCCGATTCAAAAAGATTGGCTCTGACTCAATGCATTTGTAACTTGGGTATTTGATAATACCAAGATCCAGTAATACAAAAGAGGACAAATCTTGCTCTCCATTGAGGAAGAAAAGCCTCTGCAACATTAAAACCAGATTTATTTCCTAAAATAAAGTTGATGATTAATTGAGTAAGTAAAAATCCCAAATTCACCTCAACACGCCATATGAGAGAGTCCACTGTACTGGGTATCTTAGCACAGAGTCCTGTTCTTTCTAGAATCATTGTGGCTATATTTATCCTAAAAATTAAATAAAACAACTCAACCTTAGAGAGAAACAGAAACTTCTACAAAAGGAAGAAGCTTCAAAGATCTTATTACAAAGGATTACAAACAAACCTCGTTCCATCATTATAACAAGAGCAAAGTGAATCAATAAGGTCTCTCTTTCTCGAGCCTCGACTGAACACCTGGACCACCAATAAAGCACACCATATTTCAAGCAAACCAATAAGAGAACTACAACCTTTGACACCAATACTTCCAATAAACAGAGCAAACATCTCTAAGTTAGTGTGGTCCAACCTTGTTCATAGATAAGATCTCACGAAGTTCAGTGACGTTAAGCAACTCTATGATCTCCTTCATCTTTTGGAAATCTAGTTCATTCGCGTCCTTCACTGAACTCATAAATCCCCTGACTGAACATCATACTGATATTAGCCATTTCTAATATGAAAGTTTAGCAACCAGAAGAAGTTTTCGGTGTATGTCTGACCATGTTGATAAGCGCATATCATTTACCTGTTAGATCCTTCAGGGCTTGAAGAGAATCAGACACCTCATGGTATGAAATATTTGATAGCCTAAACCAAGGTCCTGAACAAACAGGTATCCAAACATGTCACAAAATTATCATAAGAACTGTAACTTCAGTGATTAAAGCAAGAGTTTTTCTGAGACAACTACAATATCAAAGAAAGGTATCTGTAAAGATCAGACTAGAGTCGTGACCACCAGAAGAGCAACTACTTTTAAACAAGAAAATTAGCAAAGAAACCAGTTCCAGTTGCCCAGACACAACAACTGGGACTATAGCTTTCTAAAACCGTAACATCATTCTACCTATGCCCCTCAGAATATAACCAGTGACCTCTGAAATTTATTCTAAAAGACAGAAACAAAGTGTTTAGACACTAACTAATGTATGAAAATGGATAAGAAAGGGACACTAAGGATGTACTAATCCTTCTTTCATTTGTTTAACATCGGTTCATAGCAGTTAGACTAGGAACATTTACAAGCAAAACGAAATTAACTAACTACAAGGGGTAATGCAAAAGGGAAAGTTAATAGTGTATATACCTTTTCGTGTGTAAAGACGGACAAAAATTCTTTGGCTATCTTCTGAAAGAGAGGGGAAAGATTCTGTAACCAAAACAAGAAACAAGAGTGTATAAAATTAAATCAATCATCCAACAACATCAAGAAGGAAACCAAGAAAAAAATCATAGCTGAATACCCAAGAATGCCTTTTCATCAACTGTGAACAGGTGAGAGCAGCTTCTTAGAACCTCTTGTAGTAATACGTTGAAGTTCAACTGGTATCTTGTTGTTTTAGGCGGAAATTGCATCTGATGCTCAACAGCCTGAAGAACTTTCTCCCAAAGAGGTTTAAAATCTGTATAAAGTTCACATTCCTTCCAACCATCAGATGTCATTTTGTGACAAACAATTTTGATAGGAACAGCTTCAGCAGAATTCTGAGGAACAGATGTTATTATTCCCTGAAAAGAATGTAAAGGTACATCATTTTCACCTGACGCTGTATATCTCAAAATTTCAGCTTATATCAGAGAAAGCGCAACAAGAAGACATAAAAATCAGTCACCAACCTCAAACTTAAGGTCATACTCATTGATCAGCGGGGACAAGCACTGAGAGATATCTTTAGGTAGATATCCAAGCATTTCAGAATCTGCAGAAAGAACCTAGGAAAGGACAAATATACTGGTTTTAGCAGCCAGCAGATAAAGAGACTAGAATTTACACTCAAGAAGACAATGTTAAAGGAAAGGATAAAAACCTTTATAGCGTTGGGATCCTTGATATTTTCAGGATGTCTCAAAAGATAAATATTACTCCCAATTTCTAAATCCTGAACATCACTGAACTTCCTACCAACTATAAAGGTATGAATAGCCTCACCAGTGGCTTCATCTAAAGTCACAGTTTTTGAAATCTCCTCACTTCTTGGAGAAGATGAACCATCTTCAACCTTGCAGAAAATGAGGTCACTAGACTCACTTCTTTGCACCAAATTCAATTCAGAAGTTTCAGAACCAAGTATTGGCTGCTGCTTGGTAGAGATTACAAGACTATCTTCAGATTGTTTTGGCACTGACCAGAAACTTGACTGAAAAAGAGTGGTTTGAGTCAATCTCCGTTTCTTTCTAGTGGATGGACTCAAATCATCTGAGAAAGTTGAGGGATTTGTTAATTTCAAAATCCCTAACACAAGATGAGCATATAGACCAAAAACAATTCTTAAAACCCACCAGAGAATTTGCTCGGGTCATCGTTCGGAGTCTGATTCTCCGACGAACGACCATCATCTCCGGCTAAAGAGATGAGATTGCCATCGTCGTTGACCTCGAGATTTAACGAATCCTAGAGGAATTTGGGGTAAAGGATGTTACTTTAAATACTATTTGGGGAAAATGGGTGAAATTTGAGGAAAAGATTGATACCGGAGTAGGAATGGAGAGAAGAAGGTGGCGATTGGGGAGAGATCGCCGACGTTTTCCGATCAACCGGAGCAAACTCTCCCGTCCGGTGAGCATTTCTTGCCGGAGCGAAGACGTACGCGGGAAGTATTTAGATTGGCGCTACAGTTTCTTTCTAATGCCTTTTTTTGGTTACCACCATTTTAACATTTTTGGTCGGATCGTTTTACTATTTTTTTCATTGGTTAAATTCTCAATTTGGTGGCAACGACTCTTTGTCTGCTTTTTACAGATCTTGCTTGATTCACTCTTGAAGTTGCAGTTCTAATGCAGCTTATGATACTTTTGTGAATTGGTTGGGATACATGTTTGTTCTTCAGGGCCTTTGGTTTAGGCTATATCAAAATTATAGAAAAAAATTCAACATTTGCAATTGAGGGGAAATGGGTTCTCTACATTCATAGGCGCGGTTCCTCGAAAACGAAAGAAGGAAAGAAAAACGGAGGGTTAAAACTGAAGACCGTGTTCGCGTGCTGCAGCAGCAAGAGCCTCAATACGTCCATGGTAAGGGTAACCACCACGGTCAAAGGCTACCTTTGTGATACCTTTCTCCAAGCAAGATTTTGCTATCACTTCCCCAACTTTCTTTGCTACCTCCTACTCACATACCCAAAGAGAAACCGAGTTGAGTGTAATAAATGGTAACCATAAGTTCATTCTCTAATTGCAAAATTCCGAATTCAGAAGAATGAATCTTACAATGGTTGGTCCAGAGGTGTAGTCAAACTCTTCAGAGATAGGTTTCTGCTTAGTTGAGGCTGAAGCTAAGGTGTGCATCTTACTATCATCAATCACTTGAACATAAAGATGCTTGTTTGAACGGAAAACGCAGAGCCTCGGCCTCTCTGTTGTACCGTTAACCTATCAAAGAGTAACAGCAATGCGACGAAACACAACATCAGGAAAATCGATGAATCACATTGCCATCTTCATAGTGAAATCGCATTCAACTTCAAACAAATATGTCACACTAAAGCATATTATGGCAAAAACATTCATCAAGAAGCTGGAGAGATTCACTACTATACATGAACAAAATCCAAACACATGACTTCAACATCGTTACATTGTGTTCTCAGACTCTAATGAAGCTCTCAATTTCATCGCAATTCAACATATTGTATCACCCCCAAAACTAGTCCAAAGTAACAACAATTGAACACTATCTTCTACAACAATCTGGCGACGAATTGAACGAAATCAAAAGCGAGAAGAAACAGTAGACACCTTCTTACGGATACGAGAATGGCGGGCGATTCGGTCTTCGCTGCTGGTTTTGGTTTTGGATTCGACGACCAAGGACCGAGACTGAAGCGAAGACGAAGAAGACCATGGCTTCAGAAAAACGGCACGGTGTTGAAGTCCGTTTCCGAGAAACGCACTGCGGTTAGTAATCAGACTCACCGACCCACACCCACTCACGCTCGTCATACTTTGGTCACTCTCTCTCTGGCTCGCTTGCTCTCGCTCAGTGTCTAAGCTAATCCTTTTTGCCTTATCCCCTTTTTTCTTCCAGTATATAGATTTTGCTTCTTTTTACATTTTGGACCCTAAAATTTAATAATAATTCCAATTCTTACGCCATTGTTTTTAAATGAATTTCTCATCCTTGTAAAATAATGATAATTTCTATTGTTGCCCCTAGATTTCCCAAATTTTTTAATTCCTCTACTATTGTTTTAAAGGTTATACTCTAATCCATGTGTTAGTGTATAATTACAATATATTTCTTCTCTAGCTGTAAATTTTCTCTTTTCTTTAACAGAGATTTCTCTTCATAGCATACAAACTCATCTATAACTAGTAAAAAAAAAGAACTCAACATATAGGGGTGGGTGGATCAAACACATAACATAGTTAGGGATGAAATGTTTAATTAAATCAAAATTGAGGATCTTTTAATCAAAATAATAGAACATGTCGTCCAACATTGAATTTGATTACTTTTGTTTGAATCCTATTTCATGTTTCCATGTCTTTGGGGACATGTTACTGTACTGATCATCTTGTATCAGTTCTTTAGACATTGAGATCGACGACAAACAATATGAATGCTCGTTTTCTAATGGAACCCTTAATTATCTTCTCTTCGTTGTATAAACGTTAATTTTTTCTTTTGAATATAATTTAACATTAAATCTAAAAAAAAAATTATCGAGATTGTTGAACAAACGAGTCGCTATGTTCCCTTTATTATTTTAAAGCTTGATCTTCGAGTGAACTATACATCATTCATTGGCTAGCTTCCGGGACTTGTTGGTTTTCACTTTTCAGGACATAAACCATTTCGAGATTGTTCATCAGAGGATATTGCTAGAATTTGAGTATTCAAATTCCTGACATATGCCCCTCTGTGTTTGTGGCCTTAGTAGAGGTTTCTAAGACAGCTTAGTAGAGCATTCCTGGTTTCATCCTCAATGCGGTGTTAGAATCTATATAGCAAGGCTGAAGTTCCTGTAACGCTCTTGTATTATGCGGTTGAACTAAGTGCCAATATTTGTGGCAATAGTGGAGCTTGTTACAACAACTTTAACACTTTACTTCAGTAAGTGTACAATTTTATCTTGATTCATGTATCAGAGTTACTGCTAGTAACTTATACTGGTAGAAGGATAAGTTTGAGACTATAAACTTTATGACACAACCCATGACTCTTTATTTATCTACTTCATATCAACCTAGTAAGTCACTCAGTTAATTTGTACATTAATTTACTGATGACATGAACTCTATTTTTTGTTATGGCATAAGAATCTTATTAGAGCAACCCTTCACATAAGAACCATGAAGCTCTCAATAATTTACCAGAAAGAAAACGTTTGCTTTTATGGTATGTAAACTTTAAAAGTATATAGTGCTATACACAGTAGAGATCAATGATTACTGATCAAAAAACCAATAGTTTATAGACTCGTGGGCTACCTATAAATATCCCACTTATGTTGTTTTTGTGTCATGTATCCCCAAAAAGATGATGTTGTTATTAATGGCTCGTACATGAACTTCCAAAATCTTGAAGATGGATTTGACCTTTTTAAAAGGGGCCATGTTAGGTTGCGCAGAGAAGTGAGGCCAGCTCTTTTGATCAGATGTTTGAACATGTTAGGGGATGTTAAATGAAGATGATGGAGAAGACAAAGGCACGTTATATGTATCATGTTGTCCCACTTTCATTTCATCACATTACCTCACACACTGCCTTATACGGCTGTACTTTAAATTTTTTGGTTCTCTCTTCTTATTTTTTTTTTTATTTTGTGTTCAATCATTGGATTTTCCCCTAAGTTTAAGGGCTCTCATCTTATTTTATCATATGTTCAAATTTTTTGTAATCTTATATGTATATTTTTCTCAATACCAATCTTTATATGAAGATTATTGATAGTGTTGTTTATGATTTTTCCCTCCACATGTTCTTACTATTCAAGGGTTAAACTATGTTGTTATGGCTGGCTAAAGAACCCAAACATGTAAACCCGATTGTACTGAACCAAACCTATTCTTTTAAACTGAATCAATCGATACAAATGAAACCAATCCAAGTTGTGGATAGTTACCCTTGGATTAAAAATAGACATATTGCTACAAAGTGTAACATAATTAATAAGGGAATTGCTCATAATCTAGGAATAACCACTCTTTTTTACTTGTCGGCAATCACTTTTTAATCTAGTTTTGGCTCATTCATTCATTTCTCACCAAACAAAACAAAAACGTGAAAAAAAAGAAAAGAAAAAACAGAATTGGTCCACTTAAGTTAAAACCATTGTTTCATTGGTGTTACTATATAAAAATTCCAAAAGATTTATTAGCAATCAATGAGCACAAGTCTAGTGTCTCTGAAAGGCTATTGGATAAGAGAGTGTGGATAACATTATCCCACCCATTGAGACTTATTAGAGAATCCTTTACTTTACTGAGATAATATAATGCAGAGTTAATTACATTATTAATCCACTAGTTATATTGTATAAGTATTTCTTGTTATTCCATTATGGTTACAATTTCAACGTGATTAGTTTATTCGATTCATCTATGGTTCCGTAAACCGCTGCAATAAACAAAACCGGAATTGATTGAACAAGGCCAACAACAAATCAAGAACATGAAAAGACTTGTTCATTCATTTGTTCCAAACTAAAATGAAAAAATCGCACCGTGAATTAGATAGATCATCACAGGGATTAATAACATCCGAATCCAAACTCGAACATCGGATAAAAATTCAACTAAATTCTAAAAGCCACGACCACATAAAAGATGATGGAGCATGATGATGATGATGAGAGACGATACATGGCGGGCTTATACAACAATATACACCTAAAAAAAACAAAAAAGAAATTGATGAAAAGAGAGAAATCTTGAATTCCTTTCTCGTGTTCTTGATTTGTTAAAAGAAACCAAAAATCAAGAAGTGAGGTTGTTCGAAGAGTTTGACTTGTCAAGAATAGACCACATGACGAGGACGTCTTCGTAACCACAAGCCATGACATCACCTTGAAGCTCTTGCACTGTTCGTCTCTCGTGCTCTTCTCTAGCCTTTGCGTTAGCGTGGTGGCGGCTATGTGGAGATGAAGATTGCTGCGGTTGGTTGAAGAACGTTGCTGCTTTCTTGAATGGTGTTGCTATTGTTTTCTTCCATGAAGCCATTTTTTATGCTTTTCTTCTTCTTTATCTTTTTTTCTTTCTTGAAACAAATAGTAATGCTTCTTCTCTCTTGGAGTTGGATTGAAGAGGCTTCTATGTATTTATACACCACATGTGAACACAAAAACGATCTTTCTAATTTCTTTTTTTAATAATATTTTACTAAGGAATTTGTAAATTTTAAAGTAATAATATTGGAGAAAGTGAGATAGAGAGAGAGAGAGAGGTCAAGAGAGGCAAGATCCGCGATAAGAGCATTCCCATGAACCCATCAATTCGTTTTTTCTTATCCTCCCACGTGATCTCAACCTTTGTTCACACACTTACAACAATTTTATTACTCTCTCTTTTAAAACATTCATAATAGTACTTTAAACCGGTTATCATAAATGTAGAGAGAACTACTACTATTACTACATCTTTACTGAGATCAAGGTTAGGTTTACCTAGTAGGTATAGTATATTTATGTAGAGAGACTGGTTGGTTTTACAATCAATGGTCATTTGATGTTTTGGCCAGAGTTCAATTTATTGAACTATTTACACCCTTTACTATACTCATTGTACATCTTGGCTACTGAGAAATGCTTTAAAGAACCATAAGAAAGTAAAGAACCAAAGCTTTAACCTAGATCAAGTCATAACTGATTCTTCTAGCTAGCAAGCTCAGTTAAAAGTAAGAATTATATGGTGAAAATTTTAGAAATGTTTCTATGTATTCTAAACTAGGTTCTAGAAACTAAACAAAAATGATTTGTGACCATAAACCTTTGGTAAGATATTTTTCCGAAACTCCATGGTACTATGGTAGATATTTTTTTTGGTAGTTATGAGAAGAATAAGGCAAGGCACATGACACATGACAATGATAAGAGGAAAAAGTCAAGAATTTGCCTTTCTGGTTCTAATTACTGACGACAAACACCAAACACTTACATATACTTTTTCTACTGTAGTCTCACTTTCTATTTATGTTTTTACCCAATCAACTTTTTTTTCTTCTTATATCATTGATCTTTGCGCTTCTGATTTCCCTTAGATATTTTTTGTTTCTCTCATTCAAATGCTGACACTTGTACCTTCTCTATATATATAGACTATAGTCAAACTTCTAATGAAAATTTCATATGATTATCATAATTACCCACATATGATATCTACCACTACGACATAGGAGATTGCAAATGTGTATATATAAGATACTTTTTAGTGTAAATCTTATGCCTAATATTTCATCAATAATGTTGGTCTAAGAAGCTGCTCGTAGTTAAAGTGTTTCACTTTGGTGCAACAACTAAAAAAGAGAGATTTGAATCAGATTCTTGAAATAGCAAGAAGGATGCAAATAGAGGAATGGTTAGGTGATAACAATGTTGGAGCCAAAGATGGGTAAACGTGAATTATTATTATTAAGTTATAACAAAGAAGAAGAAGAAGCAAATGGATGGATTAGAAGTTTGAGGTGGGCAGAGTAATGCACAGAGAATCCCATGTGACTCTCCACATGTCTTTCTCTTTCTCCTTCTTTACTCTTTTCTTGCCAATATAATAATTTTCTACGATTTTTTTTTTCTTTTTCATTTAACAAAAAATTGTGAATCAATGATTTTATATGATTATATCTTGACATATGTAAAGTCTATATAAACATATTATAATTTTCAATGGTAGCATGTGGAATGGCATTATAACAAAAGTTATACAGTATATATAGTTTGACAAATAATAATTTTTTCTTTCATGTAATGATTGTATTTATTTATACATTATTTTTTTATATGATTCGTCATACCACTAATTTACCAATCAAGACCATCTTTTTTAGTGCTGATTTTTTATTAAACAATAGCATATATTTCTGTTTTTTGTTTAATAAAAACGATATTAGATCTGTATTAAACTATTGTAGATATCACTTAAAATAATTATATATATTATGCTTTACAGTTTACAATATACAAAGAAGAATTTAGCATATATAAAAAGATACATATGTTTCGTTGTAAAATCCTTTTTCAGATTTTTTTTTTTTTAAAAACCTAAAATTTTTTAAAATCGTGTTTTGACTTTGTGCAGCTTAGTGTGATATATTCTATTTTTGTATCCTCCCATTTCTGCGTGAGTGCGGTTTAGAAAATTTGACTTTTGGCTATTCGTGTTATTTTAATCGTATTCACACAACACAATATGTATATAGGATTCAGGGGCGCATCTAGAAAATTTGTTCAATAGCGGCAAAAATATAGTAAAAAAACAATCAAATACTAAATTATAAAAAACATAAAATTGTCATGTAAAAACTTTAAAACATCTTACAAAACCACTCAGACGCTCATTTAACAATTGAAACCTTTTTACCACATTTTCATTTGTGACAGATTCAAATAATTAAAAACAAAAAAAACATTTTATTAATTAAAAAATTTAGAAAATTTTGAATTTATACACTTATATTTTAAAATTTATTAATTTTATATTTTTGAATTATGCAACAAACTTCCATAAAAGCTTAACCATAGAATAAACATATAAACAATTATCACTGCAAAAACTAATATAGTCATGTATAACATAAAAACCTATATAATGTTTTCCAGGAAACATAGTTATAAGCTTGAACTGATTAAATAAAATTAACTGACTAAAAAATAATGCTTATATAATAGAAACGATTGTAAAAAAAGCAGGAAAATAAACTCACAAATTGATAATTGTTGATTTGTTGTCAGTTGTCACACAAAGAAAACAAATGACTAAAAAAGAAGAAAATAACAAAAAATTAGGTCTAGATTAGTAAATCTTTAATTTATATATTAATATATATTTTTTTGGTACATAAATTAATGGACTTTACAAGAAAAAGGATAAAAATTAGTTTTTTTTGTGGGGACAGATTTTGTTTTCTATTCATATTTAATAATTTTTTTTTTTTTTTTTCTGGTGGCAGCTGCCCCCACCACCTTGACTGTGGGTCCGCCCTAGGATCCTATTTACAAATAAATAAATAAAATACTAGAAACAAATTAACAAGATTCCTTTTTTTTTGTGTATGTGTGAGGCACGTTTAAGTAAAATTTAAAGTAGAAGGGATCCAAAGAGTGATAATTAACATTAGCGTAACTTAAAAGATACAATATATGTAATGGAATTTTTGATAATTGATTTTAGAATTGTCAATGTTATTACAAGTATAACAAGACCAAAAGCATAATAATGTGCATGCATTTTATTCTTCTCTATGTAACAAAAAATAATCTCACTGTTACTAATTAGTTGGAACAAAACTACAATAGGTTTATTCATCTAAAACACTTTGAGAACTCTTCTAAAAGTGTCCTCAGTGAGATTCCAAAAAAAACAATGTAATTTGTATTCTTGAAAATTCTGTAATGGGACACTAAAAATGACACCAAATTTGGTTGTTTGAATAGTAAATACACCAAATTTGGGTTGACACTATTCACAACCCAAATTTGAATATTATTTTAAGTGTGATTTTTGGTTTTGTAGTTAGAGAAGAAAACAAATTGATGCTAAAACTATATACTACATTTCATACAAAAATAAAACCACACTAAAAGTTGTCCTTTGTTTAATGAGACCAACGAATTTGAAAGATCAACTACTAAACTGTAAAACTCAATTAGTTTATAAAATATAACTTAATAACAATATCCCACATGACATAGCCAACGGACTAATTTTTGAGTCAAACGAATTTATTCTTTCAGTTGATTATTCAAATGTGATTACTATAATCTTTAATTAGTAGTATAATATGTGAACATGATTAGGTTCGTAGTTCTTTGATCACACATTTGAAGGTACCCTCGACCTCGAGACACGGTTGATTAATTTAATTAATTTGCATACAACTTACAATTGTAGTTAATGCTTTAATTTATTTTAGTATTGGTATTATCTTTTTGCAGAAGTCATATGTTAATAAAATCCATGAAAACATATTGCCTGCAATGTAAGGAATTTGAATCCTTATGATTAGGATGTATACTATTCATTTTGTATAAACCAATGTGCCATTTAATAACAACCACATATTAATTTACTTTTCTTCTTCTTTTCGACAACTTGCAATATACAAGTTTTGAATTGAATGATAACAATGTTGGTATAGAATACTATGCTACAAATCTTGGCCACACATTAGAACTGTTTTCTACTCTTTACCAAACATATGGTTTTTATAAAAGGAAAAGTAAATAAGTGAAAAAAAGAGTAAAAAACTTTTAATAAAGTTTGAAATAGATGATACACAAAAATCTCCAACTAAAATAAAATAGATATTCGATTATAAACTTTGAACAAATTAAGTATATACTCATATACTGTATTTATTTCTGTCTCATCAAAATACAATATATTTTTGGTTTTTTAAATAACCACAAAGATATTATATAAATCAAAGGTTTACTAAGAATTCTTAGATTCATATATTAAAGTTATGTGTATTAAAAAGAAAAGTGTTATGATTATCAAAAATATTTAAAGATAATAGTACTTTTTAAACTATATACATTTAGTTATTAATTTTTTATCCAGTTGTGAAATAAAATAATTAGTTAAACCATACAACACAGTCAAATTTTTTTTTTGATTATTCGCAGTGAATCTAACACCTATATATTTAATCATAATTTCTCTTTTATAATGAATATTTAGTAACATATTAAACTAGGGGATATCGAATATTTAGTAACATATTAAAACTATATCTTCCTTTTGAACATACATTTATATTTTGAAATGAGAGAATTAGTTTATTTAATCAAAAAAAAAAATATTTAGGAAACTAATTATAAAGTATAGCTATATATGTTATAAAAATTTAAACAGTTAAGATATAAAGTTATAAATATTTATTCATTATAAATATGGATATTATATATTTAAATTGATTTATAAAATGATGTGGTGAGATATTGCTTACTTCTCTATAATTATTTAGTAATCATATTACTCACAGTAGCCCTGGGCGTTCGGGGGCCCGTTCGGGTTCGGGCCGGGCTTTTCGGCTTTTCGGGTTTTCGGTTTTAGACTTCTAAAGCCCATTCGGGTATATATATATTTTTGGGCGGGCTCGGTTCGGGCCAGGTTTTTCGGGTTCGGGTTCGGTTTTGTTTCGGGTTCTTACTATATAATTTAAACAAACTGGTTTTATATCAAACAACATAAGAAAGCTTTATTAAATAAGAACACACATACTATAAAAAACATAACAATCACGAGGTGACAACAATTTTAGAGGATCTATTTATTTTCAACAAAGCTACGAGCAATAGAATTTGCTTTTCTTTGTGAAGACAAAAAAAAGTTTGTTCGATGCTTAACTAATCACTATTAACATCGATTGATATAACAAGACGGTGGATCATCAAAAGTTGTTAACTTGTTATGGCCATTGAAAATAAGTACCTTTTGGTACGTAGTAATATTACTCGACGAAACGTATAGAAAACAACTAAAGCAGTTTATAAGTTATGTCTTTAATCGTAATAGAACAACTGAGCAACCATCTTCTTCACTCATAATTCAGTATTGACCATATTATTTGACTTAAAGCTTACATATGTTAATTTTTTTGTCATCTCTTACACATGTTAATTAGGTTATTCGAACTTATATTTTTTGGTAAGAAAAGGTGTCCGTACCTTCGTTAAAAAGAAACATAGATTTGATATTGATAGATAATAAAAAATAAAAAAAACTCAAGTTACAGAGGAGGACGAAGCTCAAATTTAACCAAATAAAGGAGATGTCTTTTAAGTATGATTAAGCTAAAAAATACCATAACAAAGAAACCATAAAACTAAAAATCTATAAAACTATTATGCTAGCTTTTTTAATATGACCAAAAGCTATAAAACTAAGACTGACTTCACGTAGATAAACAAACCCAGATTGGGTTGACCAAAAGAAAAAAAAAAAACAAACCCAGATTTCCACATTTTTCTCCCATTTTTCTAATAAATCAATCGCATATCAATCAAGATGATGGAACAAATTAAATAATTTTTTTTTACCCAGAGAACTGTATTACAGACGATAGAAGTAATACAGAGGAATGCAATACTGCTACATATTACATCGAAACCTAACTAAGCTTCATCTTACCAGATTACATCGAAATAGAAATTGGGTATGGAAGCTAAATATTCTCCTATGATTTTCTTGGGAATGAATATCCTCATTAAGTTCGATTCAAGAGTATATGCTAGTTCTGGAATCTGGGTTTACAGATGAACGAAATCAGTTGCTTCAAGTATACAGATGAACGAAATCGGGTTGCTTCAAGTATAATCTGGGTTCTATTATTAATTCTCCTATGAGTTCGATTCAAGTACGTATATGCTAGTTCTGTTCTAGAATCTGGGCAATGAAATATTGAAATCGATCACCAAACAAAGGAATGAAATCGAGAATCGGATTTATAGATGAACGAAATCGGGTTTTCGGGTATGTTCGGGTTTACCCGAACCCGAACCCGAACCCGAAATTTTCAAAACCAAAACCCGATCGGGTATATTCTTTAATCGGGTTCGGGTTCGGTACGGGCCTAACGGGCCGGGTTCGGGTTAGGGCCTCGGGTACGGGCTTTTTGCCCAGGGCTAACTCACAGTATGGAGAAAATATTAAAAATGTAAACAATAATTAAAAAGACAAAGTATTTATTATGAAAAACAAAATTTGTGTTTGTTTGTTTGTTAAGTCTAGGGGGAAGTGTCAAGGTTTTGGTCGGTCCAAAAGTTAAGTGTGTAGGACTTTGTTGGTTTCTACCGATCCCTCGGGCCTCGGCTATCGTCCCACCGAATCTTTCTACTATTGTAATCTTTACTTTGGTTGAGACTTTGAGAGTTGAGACATATATTTATTATTACTGAATTATTCTGTCATTAGTATAATAATAAATATAGATAATTTTCTTATACTCATAGATTCGGATCATATATATATATGTTATGAAAATTAAAATGAAGATAACGTCATTTCTTACATGATGTACGATATAGATAAGAATAATTCTCTATACATAAAATAAAAGGTATATAGTTCCGAAGGAATCTAACATAAAACAATTGTAATCATCACTGAGAAGTACGTAACTTAATTATGTTTTTAATTAATCAGAGTATAGCCTAATGGTTTTATTGAACAATTTATGGTTTATTATGAGTCGTAGGTCCATCACACTTGACCCTCAAACTCTAGATACTTCAGTAAAACATTTAAGAAATGTCAATCTTTACAACATGTAAAAACCTGATGGTCGATTCATAATCTTTAATCAAAAGTTATCGTGGAATTTACACAACCTCCTCCATCCTAGATATTGTGCAAAATGGCTTTCAAATTGGGCTTTATGCCTCAACATATATAGTATACGGGTTAGGTTTTTCAACGTCCCATGGGTCTTAATAATTACGTGGGGTGTACACTATATATACAGGTTCAAAACTATCACAAAATAATCAATCATTAGTGTAAAATGAATTTGATTATTTACAAAAAAAAATAATTAGTATTATGTTAGAATAGTACTATGTAAAAAACAACTCTAGACTATCACAAAAAAAAATCATTAGAACATTATTTACACTATCTTTAGGCTTTTTACACTACAAAGTATCACAAAATTATACATCCACATCACTAATTGACGATTGACCTATAAAAATATATTATTACATGTATTTTTGATACTGTTTATTATTAGATTTTATAAATATGTGGGTGATCATATGTTTTTACAAGTACTTCAATGTCAACTAAGATTTTAAAATAAATAAACTTGGAACATATGGGTTAAAGAATCAAACCAAATATTTATGTCTTTAGTTTTATATACTTGAATAAATAAAATTTTAAAAATATATATCAGTTGGATCCCAAAGTTATTTGTGTTTCCATCTCACACAAAAATTGAACAAACAATTAATTTCTGATGGATGTAAGGACTTTATTAAATTCAATAACATTTATGAATATATCATAACCTTTACTCGTTCCATTTTACATAAAAGTTATTATTTTGATAAATCTCACACAGATTAAAAAGACACTGAATCAAGAAAAAAAATTCCGTACAAATTAATAATTTAAATCAATGATAATTAGCTTTTGACATAGGATAATTAAGACGTTGATGTTAAAAATCACATTAAAAATAAAATTCAAATATGCTGAAAACTATTTCAAATTCAAACAGTCCCAATAAAATTCAACATATTTTTTTAATTTAACTTATATTTTCCTCATTGAGAGTCATCTTTAGATTTGCTCTGAGAAAATTACCGTTTCCTCACAAAAGTTCTCAGAGTCATAGTCTTGTTATACCCAGAGGAAGTAGTCAACACTTAGAAAAACATCAGTTGGATGTGCAGTGAATACAAGAGTTTGCAAAATTTTAGTGCAGACATATACTTAGATATAAGAATCTCCATCTGTTTACCCAACATTTGTCTACTTTTTTTTCTTTTTTTTTGTTCAAAATCTAATTTTGTTTTTTCTTGCTTTATATATATTCCAATCGCTTAAACAACTTATACATTTTTATGTTTTATTTTAATTTTTATAAATCTCAGCTTCTTTTAGGCATTTTTCATCTTTGTTTTTTTTTTTTTTTTTGTTTGCATATAGCTTTACGTATTCCACAAAATAATAAAAAAGAAAGAGAAATAAGAACCACTGATGGGCCTTAATTTACGTTAGCCCATTAGAGTAGCTCAACTTTCACTTTCGGCCTATTAAAACCAAACTGACGATAACGTCTCCCTCGTATACCGACACGTGCGTCTTATCTTACATCTCTGAACTCAACTAACCCAATTACGACGATTCTTGTCCGATAGACTCTCACGCCAACACCCAATTATGGTTTTGGACATTAAAGGTCTCAGTCAAGTAAAAACAGTCATTTCTTCGAAACTCCACTTGATGTTTAACCTCAACTAACCAATTTTAATCCATTACTCAATCTCTTTTATCAACTCTCTCTTACAACACATCCACCTTACCTTACCTACCCCTCTCCTTGAAACAGAGCACAGAAATGGATTCTGCATCGTCCAAGACCAAAGCTATAGACCCTCCGCTTCACATGTTTGGTTTCGAGTTCGATGTATTGTCTCCGACACGTATCACTGGTCGTCTTCCCGTTTCTCCAAACTGTTGCCAGGTTTCTTCTTCTTATTTTTCCTTCAATTGATGATCATTGACCCTTTCTTTATCCCCAAATTCTGAGATTTTTTACAATTTCCTCTGAAAAGGCTTTCAAGGTGTTACACGGTGGTGTATCTGCTTTGATCGCTGAGTCTTTAGCAAGTATGGGAGCTCACATGGCTTCTGGTTTCAAAAGGGTAGCTGGGATTCAACTCTCAATCAACCATTTAAAGAGTGCTGATCTTGGAGACCTTGTCTACGCTGAAGCATCTCCTGTTAGCACAGGGAAGACTATTCAGGTTTGGGAAGTTAAGCTTTGGAAAACAACACAGAAAGATAAAGTTAACAAAATCTTGATATCTTCCTCTAGAGTCACACTTATCTGTAATCTCCCTATCCCTGATAACGCCAAAAATGCTGCTGACATGCTTAGAATGGTTGCAAAGTTGTAGATTCTTTTTTTTCTGGTCTCTATGTGATTGTGTAATACTTGTATGTATCATCCATCTTCTGAAAAATTGATAAATAAGCTTAAAGTGGTAAAGAGAGTGATACCAAAAATGTACATTGGATTTGTGAATGCTGCCTTGTTTTTGTACTAGAAAACTCCTCTGGTGTCTTAAACAGGAACCAAACATTGGCTGCTGGCTCTTGAACTTGTCAATCAAGAATGGACCATTCTCATATAGCATCATTCTTCACTGTATCTGTTTGGAAACTTTAGTACTCTGTGTTCCTTTATATTTGTTAAGACAGCTTGTACTTGGATTTGCAAATGTGGTAGGAGCTAGTATGCTTTGTCAGATGTGCCATTTGCAGAATCATCAACACAAATCATATGCCTTTTGTAACATATAAGACACAAGCATAGTGAAGATGATCAAAACTTGGTAAGAAATTGAACATAATAAGATAGAGATGATAAGCCTGTCTTTGGAACTGATATGGTAAATGGTAATAAGCCGTTTAGTGAGTTTCAGCAGTCTCTTGGTTACAGACTTGAGTTTTCCCATAGCTTCAAGCAATAGAATAAAAAGAGGGATCAGGAAATCCGGTTTGAATCAAACCAAACCAAAAATTAATTCCTAAACCGAATAATTTGAATCGAACCGAGATTAAAAAACCGGATTTTGTTCTGCATCTGTGTTGTGTGCCCTTCTTCATCATAAAGCTCTAAAACGCTGACGTTTCGCATGTAAACTTTGAAATAGACGAAGACGGAGAGAGAGAGAGGGAAAGATTTGACAAGAGAGAGAGAGAGAGAGAGATTCCGCCATTGAAGAAGCTCACATCCGAAAGAAGAAGAAGATCAAAAATGGACGATGACTGGGATTTTACCGTAGAAGAGATGGATGCTATCGAGAAAGAAGCTCTTCAGATGATCAACAAGCAACGCAATGCGTCTTCTTCCTTGCCAACACCTAACGAGGTTTTACACTTCGCAATTTCCCCTTTCTCTTTGGTTTTAACCTAAATTAGGGTTTTTTTCTTGTTTGATACGGTAATTAGGACAATTTCGGATGGATATGAGTGTTTGTAATGTTCAATTTTGCTTCTAATAAGCCCTTATGTGTGTCTTATGCTCAGGTTCATGCTTCGTCTCAAGGAAACAGAGTCTTACCTTCAACTCTCGCACCTAAACCAAACACTGGTAAGTTTTTTTTCTTTGTTTCAGAATCATTTAACTTATGTTATCTCTCTGCATATGGGTTGTTCACGTTTAGTGTATTAACTGTGAGGCTAGTGTCTGCGCCAAAAGATGAAGGCTCTAAGCCAAAGGAGCAAAAAGTTTCTGTAAAAATTTTGCTTCATTGTAGTGGAGATCTTGCTGCTAAGTTCCTCTATAACCAGGTTAGTTATCACAAGTTAGATGTCTTTGTGGGGAAAACTATCCTTAAGTAGTTTTGTGTGTGACACTTACCAGCTATTTCTTTTTTTTGTCTAGGTTGTGGTGGATGCTGTGCGTAAAATCCCTAAGGCTATTTGGAATGCTAAAGAAAGGTTTGCCTTTTTTATACTCTTTCATTTGCCTGTGTGTCATTTGTGTGATTTGTTTTTGTTATTCTTATGTGTTTTGCTGTGATCTGTAAACAAAACTGAGATATAAGCCTTGAAATGTAACACCTTTTTATTCTCTTGTGGAAGTCCAGGATATGGACCTTTCCCCTTTCTTCATTGTCATCAGCAGAAAGTATTTTGCAACAAGTTTCCAGCGTTAAAGTTGAGGTAAGCCACATTGATTCTTTATAATGGTTCAGGAAGTTTCAGTTTAATCTAGAGATCAAGCATCTCTTAGGTACATTGCTATCTAATTTTTCGTTTGAACTATCAGATAGAGAACTTAGATCCTCTTGTGCAACGTGCAATCGCTTCTGCCTCAAGAGTTCCAGATCTACGGCGTAAGTTAGGCATCCTGTTTATTACGTCAGACACATTAACAATGTGATTCTTTTGATATATGTTCATTTTTGGACCCCTTTTATGGGATTTTCATGTCTTACTTTCTCTTTTTTTCTTCTCCTTCTTCTAATTTTTGTAGATCTGTATGAAAAGATACCAAACCATATTGAGCCAAAGCTTCTTCCATTTCAGCGTGAAGGCATACAGTATGTCAGCGATATGTAGTATTTGTCATTCTTCTTTACTACCAAATAGTCAGCACTCAGCAACTTGTTTGCCTTTTGATTGCGTCATAACTATTCCTTTGCTTCATGATTGGTTTCTGCCTTTCCCGTAAGGTTTATTTTACAGCACGGAGGACGTGTACTCCTAGCAGATGAAATGGGTCTTGGAAAGACTTTGCAGGCGAGTAGTTCTTGCTCATATCCCTCTATATATCTTTTTATTTCTTGATTTTTGAAAATCCTATACGGTTTTACCCCTTTCATTGGAGAAGATATCTATTGCCACTTGTTAATATATCTCTTTGACGTTGATATCATATAGTATCTTCTAACAAGTATTTTTCCTTGCAAACCAGCGAGAAACTAATTCTGGAGAATTGCTTGTATTTGTTTTTTAGCATCAATCTCATTCACATGCCTACTGTGTGTGCAGGCAATTGCTGTTACGACATGCGTTCGTGAATCTTGGCCAGTTCTGATTATTGCACCATCTTCATTACGTTTACATTGGGCAACAGTAAGCTCATGATATTTGAATTTTTACTTGGACGCTCTTTATGTCACTTGAGATGATTCTTTATGTTACTTTCGCAGATGATTCACCAATGGCTGCATGTACCTCCGTCAGACATAGTTGTATGTAGTTTAGTGCTTGTAGCTTAAATATATCCATTCTATATTATTTTCTCTCTCATCTAAGCTATCCTTTTAGTAGGTAGTTTTACCGCAACCAGGTGGATCAAACAAGTGCGGATTTACTATAGTTTCCTCAAATACAAAGGGCACAGTCCATCTGGATGGTGTCTTCAACATTGTTTCCTATGATGTGGTCACTAAGCTGGGCCAACTTCTAATGGCGCTGGACTTTAAGGTAAATAGACATTGCTTTGCACTGATTTTTCTGTGGAATATTCCTGCTATCTTGGTTTTTAATGATCACGTTGGTTACCAATTAATCACATGATTTTGAGATTCTTGAATTTTAAGAGGAGAAGCTAAGTTAAGGAATGGAGAGGAAAGAGGCATTTATATTTTGTGTTCAGTAGCTTGCAAATAAGGCTTTTAATGTTTGTATCAGTTATTTGCGGTTTTACTATGTACAGTCCTTCTTTGCAGGTCGTTATAGCAGACGAATCACATTTTCTTAAAAATGCTCAAGCAAAGAGGACTAGTGCTTGCCTTCCAGTCATAAAGGTATTATCAATATATCATTCTCTTATTCTTTTGCCTACCAAGCTAGTTTTAAGTTATCAGTTAACAGAATTGGAAAATCAATTTCTTTTTAGTGTAACTGTGATCTTTTGTAGCATTGTTACATCTATAATCATGCATATGTTTCAGAAAGCTCAATATGCAATCCTTCTAAGTGGAACTCCTGCTTTATCTAGACCAATAGAGCTATTCAAACAGGTAATCCTTCCATTTTACTAGTCCGCATTTCTTTTTATTTTAGTTGGATTTGTGAGGGACCTTGTGTATCTATGGATGTAATTTTGATTTACAAAATCCTTTTGTTCTTTACTCTTGACAGCTGGAAGCTCTATACCCAGATGTTTATAGAAATGTTAGTGAATACGGGAGCAGATACTGCAAAGGCGTAAGTCCACTGTACATTGAGAAACTGCCTAGAATTTTCGTACAAGGTAGTTACTGTGCATCATAAAATTAATATGTTATTCAAATTTTTAGGGAGTGTTTGGAATATATCAAGGCGCAAGCAATCATGACGAGTTACACAATTTGATGAAGGCAACAGTTATGATTAGAAGACTTAAAAAGGATGTATTGACTGAACTTCCATCAAAACGCAGGCAGCAGGTTATTAGTCGTAACTCTTTCTCTTATGTCCATACATGTTGTGTGAAATATTTTAGTACCTGTTAAAGATTTTGGTTTGACATTATTAATTTGATATTTGTTTATATAGGTCTTCCTAGAATTAGCCGAAAAGAACATGAGGCCAGTCAATGCTTTGTTTCAAGAAGTAACTTGATTTAGTTTTCAATATTTATACAATTCACCTTCCTTGCAGAATCTGTTTTTGAGGAAAAGGAATGAGCTTTGTTTTGATTTTTACAGTTAAAGGTGATAAAGTCAAAAATAAAGGATTGCATATCAGAAGAGGATGTTAAGTCTCTGAAATTTACAGAGAAGAACCTTATTAACAAGGTAGTCATTTGCCTTTTTTCTCGACAATCAACAGCCAAAGCATTTGTGATTCAATTGTTTGCACTTTTTCTTGCCGATCTATGTTCTTTTTTTTTTTTCGTTGGACCTGCTTTTCATGGTTTCTTATAACATCTTCTCTTTTTGTAATTTAGATTTACACTGATTCCGCTATAGCCAAAATCCCAGCAGTGCTTGAATATCTGGAAAATGTGCTTGAGGTAATACCTATCAACAATAAGATGTATTAAAACTCCCCAGACATTTCTGATGCGTGTTCCTGTTATTTCTCCTTGAGCTTTGTGATGCAGGCTGGCTGCAAATTTCTTGTATTTGCACATCATCTGTCCATGCTTGAGGCATTACACCAGTTTCTTAAAGTAAGGCATTGAACTATTAGCAAAGCTTCCAAAATCCCCCCTCTGTTTCTCTCATACAATATTCAAAAAATAAAAATGCAGAAAAAGAAAGTGGGCTGCATCCGAATTGATGGTAGCACCCCTGCCTCCTCTAGACAAGCCTTGGTTTCTGACTTTCAGAATAAGGATGAGATTAAAGCAGCAGTGGTAAGTATTTCCACCAATCTTTGCAACAAAGTTTCCTACCCTTCTCTTAATATATGCCACTATACAAGGTACACTTTTTCTGGATATAATGTGACTGTGAAACTTGTAAATCGCAATTAGAAAAGTTATAATAAGAGAATATATACTTTCATTGTATGTTAAATCTTAGTCCTTTCAGTCAATAGAAAAGATTAGTAGTCATTGATTTTTGTTTCTATTTACATGGATTTGCAGCTGTCAATACGAGCTGCTGGTGTTGGGATAACTTTGACAGCTGCAAGCACTGTTATCTTTACCGAGTTGTCATGGACTCCGGGTGACTTGACTCAGGCAGAAGATCGTGTACATAGGATTGGTCAGGCGAGTCATAAATAATAGCTTACTAGAGTCACAAATCACAATCACCAATCATTTTACAAGGTCAATTTTAAACTCTTTCTGTGCCTTTTGATTCATATCTACAGGTCAATTCAGTTAACATACACTACCTTCTAGCAAATGATACTGTTGACGACATCATCTGGTTCTTTCTCATTCACATTTACCTTTCAAATTTCAAAGAATTCTCTAAAGTCGGTTCTTCCTTAATGAATTTTCGTAATCTTGGTCATTCTTTGTATAGGGATACTGTCCAAAACAAACTGGATAATCTAGGACAGGTATGCTCTTTTTCTATGTCATGTACAAATCCATAATTTGTATTATCTACAGCATGTCGTTGACCATTATCTCTGAATCCTGTTAAAGTCTCAACTACTGGAGTGTGTTCAGTGTGAATCATTAAAAAATAGATGTTTGATTGCCACCACGATCAAATTTAAGTTAAACTTCTGATAATTTATAACACAGATGCTTGATGGAGAAGAGAATGCTTTGGAGGTTTCATCTAGTCATACGATGAACAGTCCAACAAAACCAAGAAACAGCCCTACAAAGCAGCAAACTCTAGAGCCGTTCTTGAAGCGCTGCAAAAGATTAGATGAAGACACCGAGGAACATCAACCCAGGCCCAAAGTTCCCAGACACTGAAACTAACCCATGCAAGATCGCAGCTGTGTTATTGTTGCTTGCACACATGACCTTATAGGGTAAAATGATCATTTGTAATATTTTTTTATGGCAAACAAATGATCTTTAACTGTGTAGTTTCAACTTTCAAAGGTGTTTGCTTATGTTGATCTTTCTTTACAAGTCTTATCGCAACAGATTAACACCAATGAATTATCTAGAACACCAATATGTACAATAAGAAACCACCACACTATATATATTTCTTAAGTCAATTTAAACACTTTCAATATGAGACAAAACCTAGTCCCTCCCTACTACATTCTTCATCAAAGAAACTTGTCACAATAGTTTCCACATCCTGCAATCCAACTCCTACACAGACGGTCTTGGACGGTGTCCTAACTGAATCAGTCATCACAGCATCAGTCTCGTTCACAACTCTAACGTTTGGACCATCACGACACTTCCCCATGCACTTGCAAGCCACAGCGGATCCTTCAAAACCCGTCATAGCCCTTTGAAACTCATCCAACAACAAAGCACCTCCTAATTTCTTACACTTCCCTCCCATGCAAACTTCTACTCTCTTCAATGGCAATCCAACCGCTTCTACTGCCTTCAATGTCTGCCCAGGATTGGCCACGGAAGGAAAGACTGTGGATGTTTGCAGAGCAATCTGCAATGCTTCTCTGATGTTGTTGCAAGAAGTTGCATCTTCTTCGAGCTTATTAGGAAGTACAGTCTCTTGGGTTTTAAGAAGGGTTGCTACTGTAGCTTCTGGTTGTAGTGGCTCAAGACTCGGTTTAGCCTTGTTTCTGAAAGAGCTCATGTCAACAACTTTGCCTTTATCACAATCACTGTCACTTGATTCAGACGAGGAAGATGATTCAGAATCCATTTCAGTCATCTTCTTCATAGCCTTGGCTTTTGCCTTTTCTTCTTTCCTCTGTTTCTTCAATAGCTTCTCCTCTGCTTTCAACTGCTCAAGCTGCTTAACCAATATCTCTGTTGCTTCCTGCATGATTCACACAAACCAATCAAGATCTATTCTAACACATCAATTCCACCAATAAAAAAAAAGTCAAATCTAAATTCTTACCGAGATTGTCTTGGTCTGAATCTCACCAACCAAACCAGCCTCAGGATCAAGACCAAACCCTAAACTAGAGAACATATCCAAGTTCTTAGAAAGACTTTTAAGAACCTTGGCCTTCTTCTTCAACGCCTTCTTCTCCTTCTCCATAACCTTCATCTTCTCCTTCTCTTTCTCCTCGCCGCATCTCGTTGGCTCTATATAGTAACTCACATGCCCTTTATCCGCAAACTCGCTATTACAAACAATCCCACGAACTTTCCTGGTTCTAAACCCTACCGTTCCCGTATTACCGGAAAATTCAGATACTAATCGGAGACCGGAGTAACGGCCATCGGCAACGGAACCTGAAACAAATGGAATCTGTCGGAGAACCGCGCCGGAAACTTCCATCTCTGTTGTTCAAAGATCTAGATGATTGTGTAGGGAATTGAAAAGTAGGAATCAATGGAAACTTTGATGATGACTTGAGCCTTAAGCGATTCTTAATAGATGAAATAAAACATACAAATCCCTTGAAGGCTGAGTTCCTTGTTGAAGGAGATTTGCCAGTTCTTTTACAGGAGAGAATTTAACAGTGAGAGATAACGTGGCGTGTTTTGGTTGGTTGGAGGTGTCGTGAGTTCCACTCAGGCTCTCCACCTGTTGTCTCACGAGTTCCACACTTTCCCGCGCTCCTGACACGCGCCTGGTGATTAATCTCAGCCGTTGATTTAACCTGTTGTGGAGAATAACGGTCTGAAATTACGATAGGTGTACATGTCGGATCGCCACGTGGAGAATTTAATAGAATCATTGCCACGTATGTAATAAATTTGGGAAGAATTATGTGTTTTATTTGTAGGAGTATTAAATAAAACTTGAATAAATCAAACAGAATTTGAATACATATGCCACTTGAATATACACTAGCACCATAAGCTTTTGGAATTTGGAATTTTTTTATTTTTTTTTGTTAAAAGTATTTTGGGCAACTTGATACGAATATTCTAATATGAAGTATTTGGCTTCATAAATTATTCAAGTATTTTTCGTTTATTATCATAATATTTAAAGTTTGTTTTTGCACCCAGAATATTTGAAGGTATGTGTTAATATTTAGATATTCTGAAGAAATTTCAAAATACAGTAGTATCAAATTAATTTTTATATTATTTTTGAAATTAGATTAGTATCAAATAATGCACAATGCATGTTGATTAAAAAAATTAATAGGATAAACAACAACAGACTAAACGATAAAAAATATCCATTTATCCTCTCTATTTTTTAAACTCCATTATCAAATCTAAAATCCCTAATAACAATAATTAATTGTTGGGTTAGGTATTGTTGGGATGGTAACTTTGAGTGGATCACGCTACCTCTTACTTTGTGTGACATCTCATCAAACGACATTATATGATAACAACAATAAACAACTCTTTACAGCCATCGGATCTCTTTTGACGGCCTCACGACTTTTAGTGGGAGATAAGATGCTTTCTGAATTTGATACTAAAACCCAAATTTCGAAAGATTCATAACGTTTATGATTTCTGTATTAATTGAGTGTGTAATTTCACTGGAGGCACATTTACATACATTTTTCAACATTATTATTACGTGGTACATAACATTTACTCGCTCCACAAACACTATTTAACGCAAATAACGAATATTTATAGCCAAAACCAAAAGGCCAAGTATATATATGCCTTCTCTGATTACTTTTCTACGACGGGGCTCCGGCCATATTCCCCCGTGCCAGCCGGAGATGACTCGGAACACGTTGTTTTATCTCTTCTAATGCACATAATGTCTCTGGATCAAGCCCTCCCGCAAACTGAATACACATTTTAATATCAAGCATCAATGCACTGTGTTCGATCCGACCTAATGTTTTTAAAATTTGAAGTTTTAATATTTACCTGGTGCGTTCTGTACGCAAATCGGACGCCTTGAAGAAGCAATGCTTCTTGAGTAGACTCTCTATCCAAGTTACGAGCTGATTGTAGCTCGTTCGCTACTCTATTCATGTAGGTTTTAGCAAGCTTGATCGATGCTCTTTTGATCTGTTAACAGAATTAGAACAATGTTAAAAGACGACAAAACGAGCGTAACCGATTTGTTTACTTAGAGACTTTAACAAAGTTCGTAGAAAGAGAACAATACCTTGCTTATCATTCCTGAGTCAAGCATCCACTCGACTGGGATCTTATAGTCCTGGTAAGAACGCATGGATGAACCACGTAATCTGACTAGCCTCCTTATCCTCTGCTCCGACCTTATCATAACCGAAATGTTAGATTTCTTTTTAACATCTGAGGGATCTAAATTAGTAAAATTAATGAGTGTGTATCAAAGTAGGGACTTCTCTTACTTGTCTAGTAAGTTGGCCATTTTCTTCAGGGCAACACCGTAGTGAATACTCGGATCATCAGAATAGGAAGAAAGTTCTTTTTCCAGCTTCTTTAGCTCGCGGTATTCGACTGCAGCCTCTTGTAGAGCATCAGCTTTCTTCTCAGGCCACTTGAAATGCTTAAGCACAGCTCGCTCATCAGCCTGTAAGGCAACAGGCAAAGAGGAATGCACATGGAATGTAAGATATCGAGTGATGCAAAACTCATCAAATCTGTATATAGAAACAATCATTTATATGATTAAGTGATACACTATGGTCTCAGTACACCGAAAAAGATGGTCAAGTTCAGATGTGAAAAATTTGGTCACTTGTGTAAGAAAGTTAAAAGAGGAATTAGGCGTTACCAGAGTTGCCAGTTCTTTATCAAGCCAATCCACAAATTTCATCACATCTTCCATATCCGAAAAACAAGTGGTCAGAACTTTCTGGATAAGATCATTGATAAAATCCCCCTTTGTCTCTATATCAGCTTTTATCTGTGGAATAAATTTGAAGGTCATCAGTGTTAGATAAGATTGGCCAAGGCTTAGGTTAAAGTAAACAGAGTACAGAATACGAAAATTGATTGCTTACAGCGATAAGGTGCGCAGAACGGTTTTGAATTTCTCCAACTATACTGTTGTGAGCACTATTAACTTGAGACTTATTTCCATTTACAGAAGGTGAAAGGTCTCTACTATTATCTTGCTTCTTCAACAACTGAAATAGCTGCGAAACTGGAGGAGACTTCTGAGGGCGAGCTGCTTTAGCAAGAGGCCTAGGAGGTGGTGGTGGTGGAGGAGGCGGTGGTGTTGGAGGTGCAACAGGTGAAGAATTTTCATCTCTTTTACCTGAATTGCTGCTAGCTGAAGACACCAAAAACTTTGGCAATGGCGGCGCTGGCGGTAATCTTGAAAGTGAAGGTGATGATGGTGGAGATGATCTTGCTGTAATGGAGCTTGATGACTCTACTGCTACTACCTCCTTTCTAACCTTGGATTGCTCTAATTTGCTAGCGATTAACCTCTGGATATCTTTGAATCTGCTGTTCTGATGTTCTTTAGCTGGCTGAATCAACCAAAACACCTTAGAAAGATTAGAACCTTATCATAGCCTAAACTATGTACCAAATGCAATTATGATTCCGTAGTCTCACTAAGTAAATGCAGAGGTGAGACTCTTCAATGCTTACCTTATCGTTAGAAGAAAGAGATGAGATCTTAGCTTCAGCTGAAGCAAGATCCTGAGAAAGCTTCCTATTATTCAACTCAAGCTCGACATTTGAACTACGAGCTTCCTCTAACTCCGTTTTCAAATTCAAAACCTGCAACTGCAAATCCTTAATCAACGACTCATTCACTACCAACTTCTCCTCCAATTCCTCCATTCTCTTCCTCTTCTCATCCTCCTCCGCCGCCGCCTCCGCCGTAGACATTACCGTCTCTTCAATTTTCCGAGAAATCGGCCGCCTTGGACAACCGAATTGCTCTACAACCGCCGGGCGATTCACGGACCGAGCTCTCTGAGGAACCAAAACCGCCGTGGTCTCCTCATCTCCGGATTTCGCTTTCCTGAGAAGAATCGATCGCCGGTTCTTCGCCGGATCGTTCTTCACATCGTGATTGGAGTGTTTCGGTTTACCTCCGGCGAGACCGTTATCGTCTTGTGCTCTAGGTCTAGAGATCACTGAGTAGTGCGAATTCGCAGCTCTCACACGAGAAGGAGTCGTGGAAGCGGCGGAAATGCGTGACATAACTAACAAAATCCCCGCCGTAAACGACGGTCGCCGGCGAGAGAAGACTCACTCACTCGTCGTCGTTAACGTCTTACTCAGCTTTGACTTGTGTGAAAAACCAAGAGACGACTTCGAAGCTGTCGCACAAGAAAACAAATATTAATGGCCACACCAATCATTAATTCAATAAAACCTTATGTAATGCCACTAAGCTTAAAAGTAATTAACGTTAATTAAATTACTAATCTAGCCATTAATATGAAGGAATGATCCGTTTGAAGGAAACAGTGGGCTTTAAAGGCCCACCGAATATTTTGACGACTTTGAGAATAAGACAAAAGAATTAATAAGTGGTGGGCCAATTTTGTTTTTTTGTTGTCTTTATTTTTTCTTTTCAGATCACGACGCGTCTTTCCCACGCGCCATTACAAATAAAGTCGATAGTGTCGTGTAATGTTTTTTTTTTTTTTTTTTGTGTCGTGTAATGTTGTTATCGAGATATAGCTTATAGGTGTTTCATGTTTGCGTGTAGCTGCTGCAACCAAAACAAAGTTATGGTGTATGTACCTTTAAATAAAACAATGATTTAACCACAAACAACATACGTTTTTATAAAATTTAAAGCAATTTCAAGATCCTTGATTAGTAGTGTATGGGAACCTAAATGAGACAATGAAAAAGAGATTAAAGAATCTAGTTAAGCAAAGGACCTACTAATGATTGGTCTCAGGTTGTTGTAGCAAAATTGGAACAAAGAGAATTTGTCATTTATGAAGGGACCATTTATGTTTGGAATATATATAATAAGTTGTATGGTTTTTAATAAGTGATATTAAAGAAGAATAGTGTTTAATTTAAAATGATAAAAAGGGTTTGAAAAACATGTTTAAGACAAAAGGGAAGATTGAGGAGTATGTCCTAATCATACTCAAACTCAAAGAAAGCTGTTAGTGACCATTGGTTTACAAGTTAAGTTATTGACTTACTTGAAAGATTTTATTTGGAGAGAGTATTTGATCATAATTTGATATAATGATATAGAAATTATTTGGTCCGTAAGGCAATTATTGGGCTATGAATTGTTGTTTGTTTTGTGCCTTGCTAGGTAAATCTACTCGCAACTATCTGCATTTTTATTGGATTCTTTAACCGCAAAAAAAAAAAAGCCTTAATTAGATAGATAGGAAAATCATTATATATGATGAATATGAGAAAATCATAACTATAAAGTATGATCGAAGATTAATTATATATTATCAAATTGAAAGTAAATATGTGAGCTTCGTATTTGCCAAACTACTTTTGTAAATATTACTGTATTATTGTTCTTCAAAACGTTAAGGGATATTGTTTTTATCTCATAAATGTTGAATATGCATGATTTGTCGATGTTGATTCCTATGTAAATTTTGTTTCTCCGGATTAAAACAAGCAGAGTTTAACTTCAAATGAATGAATGGTTACCCAAAAAATAATCTGTTACGTTTGTGTTTATTAGTTAAGTATGATGTCTTATAGAACTTTAACAAAAAAATAATATTTTACCAAGCATCTATAAATGATATTATATACCATGTAAAACTCTCAAGTAAGGATCATTTAGATGTGTGTTTGTGTAAGAACTTCGGTATTTGTGGCATGGTTATTTAGTGGTCAAGAAAACGAAAAGATACACAATATGATCGTCCAAACTACACATTAACTTTGTATTCGAGTTTGGTCGGGGATCATATTTGTGGTTTGAAACAAAAAGAGAGTTTGTATCTACATTTAACAGAAACAAAAACCCATATATTCAAACAAAGACATTAAGCTTGGATCAATAAAATCGATGTTTTTTTTTCTTGTTAGAGGATATATAATTAACCATATTGAAGAACTTAAAAGAGGAATATAGTACCTTAGAGATGAAGCTCTCGAAGAAGGAAGAAGAATACTGGTGATCCTCGTCTTCCCCAAAACAACATTCTCATTAGTGAGATGATCGATGATTACACATGCAGCTGATCATATTCATGTGTCTATATAATATTTGTGAGTCCTTTAATTTATATCTCTCGACGAATGAGTATGAATAGGTTTCGTATATATAAATTATAATAAGCTCGATGGTACGTGAGATGTCTTGGAAGGGTTAAAAACTTGAAGAAACCGGAAGAGAATAATATAGTTTATATAATTAAACCTTAAAGGCAAAAATAAAATGTATATAGGTCATACTCATGTAGACGTCTATTTCATGAAATGGAGTAGGAATGAAACAATGGGTTAATATGGACAAAATCAGGTGTACCCTTTTTGTATGCAAACTATAAATAATAACTAAATATGTAAAACCGAAAGGATAATGACATGTTTTATAAAATTATCCAAAATCAGAAAAATTGGATTAGATGATGGGTCATGATCCAAGAGGAAATATATTTTTTATCTTTCAATTTTTTCTTGTCAACAACTTTAATTGTGTATCTCTCATATTATTTTTTTGGAATTTCCAACAAAATGTGTATCTCTCAACTGAAGTAAACATTCCAACGTCATTTATGCCAAAGTATATACTGTATATATATTGATTTAGTTTTTTTTATAACGCCACCAAATCATTTATTTTACCGTAAAAATTCATAACCATTAAAAAAACAATCATAAAACAAACATAGAAAATTGAACACAAAGATATTAGACCACCCACAATAAGAGAGTCCGTAATGGAGCTCTTTTAAATATTTTTAGTATTAATTGTGAAAAATTTGAAGTTAAGAAGTAGTGATGGGGTTTTAAAATTTTTACTTTTCCAATGGTAAGAACTATAGGGTTCTTTAAAAATATATATTTTTATAAAAGACATAATTTATAAATTATTGCATTTCATAATTTTTAAACAAACATGATATAGAAGCAAATATAAATATGAACCGTTTATTTATATTTGGTATAATCTTCATGGTTCGGCTTCGAAGGCTTACAAAATAACCATTCCTCCACTTGATCATTACAAGCGAGTTGTTGACGTGTTTACTCTTCTTGCTGGCGGCTGCTCACTGCTTGTCTTGATATCAAGCACAACAATCGAGTTTACCCTTTTTGTTGGGATGCCAGTTATTAATATTCTAAAATGTGGTTATATCAAAGTTCTTCAAAAAGCCAAAGGTAATCATTTACATCTATACTATTAATTGGGGATCATTTTTTGTGTTTGTTGCCAAACAAACCTGAAAAAAAAATATTACAAAAAATGTGATTGTAAATCTATTGCCAAACACACCCAACTTTTTAAAAAAACAGTCTTCAAAATCGTAATTATAGGCCTATTCGCAGGGCCCAAATGTTGATCTAAACATTTTTAAAAATCTTAACAATCTAGATACCATAACTGATTTATACCTTTTAATTCGAAGCATAATTTTCTCCAACCAAAAAATGTTAACAAAATCTTCTTGCAGTTAACATTTTCGAAAACAATAATTAATTTTCCATCGTCTTACAATAACCATTGTCGATGACCATTATTAGTTATTGCCTTTCTTAAAACAAATTATGCCTAAATCAAAGCAAACCTCTATATTCATGGAGAATAATGAGAAAAAATATTCCTAAAATTACGAACAAACTCATAACTACCATAATCTTCATCATATATGCAAAACTGATTATTGCCATATAGCCAACAAAATCGATTTTCGAGAACATCTAAACGATATCTTTGAGAATATGCCATAGAGAATATGCCATATCTTTGCAACCAAGTAAAGGCCGATCTATAAATAGTCAAGCATATGTTACTAATACACATACACATTAAACCTAAAGCGACTTAAAAACAATGGCAGCAAAGGAGTGTTTCACCGAGCTATCAGACATCAAACCATTCAAGACATCATGGAAAATAAGAGTGAAGATCGTCCACACATGGAAACAGTTCACTACTTACACTGGAGAGACAATCGAGATGATCTTGGCTGATGTAGCGGTAAGTGTTTCGTCCAATCCTGTAAAACATACATAATTTACTGCTTTGTTAGCTAACATGTTTAATTGTTTTTTTCTTTGGTTTTACAGGGAATACTAATTCATGCAACCATTAAAAAACAACAGTTGAACAAGTTTCAACGACTAATTGTTTTTGGAGAATGGAGAGTCATTGAAAACTTCCAACTCACTAGAGCATCTGGGAAGTTTAGAGCAACCAAGCATACATACAAAATGTCGATAATGAATTCAACAATCATTACTCGATGCCAGTCTTTGTCTAATGATTTTTATGTTGATCTTGCTGCATTTGACAACATACTCGCTGATGATGTTCTTAATGAACACATACTCATTGGTAAGTTATCTTTAATCATGCGTATATTTCAGTCACAATTTATTATTCAAGAAGTAAATACTTCATAATCTATTTTTTCCTTCTCAGATGTTCTTGGTCAGGTAGTATCTGTTGGGCAGATGAAAACGTCTTCACAAAATGATAAACCAAAAAAAAGGTTGGAGGTTGAGTTGAGAGATACCAGGTAATTCACCTACACTTTAAAAATTGGAATTCCTTTTCTAGAATAATGATAACAACTAAATGTTTATTTTACAGTGACCAGCGGCTATCATGTACTCTATGGGGGAAATTTGCAGATTCAATGTGGGAAGCATGTAGAAAAGAAGAACGTGGAATTGTCATATGTTTGCTTCGATGTGCTAAAATCAATACTTACAATGGTAAGAATGTTTGCTTATTGTAAACTAAATATTATGCGATTTTAAAGCTACTAATCTCTGATTATTTGTAATAACAGGTGATAGATCTGTCTCAAATGCATTTGACATGTCTTTAATGCTACTCAACCCAGACTACACAATAGTCAATGAATTTGTGGGGAAGTAAGTGTTTTTAAAATTTTAAAAATAGTATACATGTAATCGTCTAAGTATTTTTATGTTAGTTAAATCTTTCTAACCGTGTATTTGTTGTATCCTATTTATATAGCTTGCCAAATGATAATTTACAAATCACCTTTCAAGACAAAAACACATCATCTATCAGAGAAGGAAAGGATAAGGATGATTACATCAATCAATTCCCTATGAGCACAATTTCTGACTTGCTTGAAGCTAATATGGTAAACACATACGACTACACAGAATGTTTTGTATGTTAGATATTAATATGTTTTTCTTATGCTATAGGAAGGAAAGTTCAAGATAATTTGTACCGTCTACCACATTGATATGGAATTTGGTTGGTATTACTTTGAATGTCTCAAATGTAAAAATACTTGCTATTTGATTCCAAAGAAAGAGAATGAACCTCCCAGCAAAACAAAGAAGCCTTTGTTTTGGTGTCAAGAATGCAAACAAGAAGTGACCAAAGTTGTTTCCAGGTAATGAATTAGTTAAACACTTATCATATTATTTGTTTAGTTATGAATGAATTAGCTATGAACTGTGTGATATTTGTTTATGCTAGGTACAAACTAATTCTTGATGTCATGGACACAACTGGTGAATCTAAGTTCATCTTATTTGACACAAATGCTCAAAAGGTTGTGGGGCATACTACAACACAGTTACTAAACGGACAGTATGATGAGGTACATTTTCATAGAGTAAATTTAACTAATTGTTTTATTTCAAATAAACTAATTTGTGAATAACCAAAATGCAGATTTCTGATCCAACTAAGGTGCCCGAGCCTTTAACTAACTTGGTTGGTAAAACTTATATGTTCCTTGCTACTGTGGAGACCTCCAACATCATTGCAGGCAAAGAAACTTATAAATGTCAATATGTGGAATTGGGCGGTGACAACAAGCAAGTCGACCATACTGAAGATTCTGAATTACCAACTGATCCTAAAGATGTTATTTCAATAGACCAGGTATTTAAGTGCATAATTGATTGGTTAACATTCTCTCTATAGCTTATAAATGTTTTTATGTTTTGCCCTCTATCGTAGGACCAAAACTGTATCACTAATAGCAGTGATAATGGAGATGGAAATCCAACTGCAATGACTACTCCTTCATCGAAAAGGAGAGAAGACCCAAATGATGAAAATGACCAAGAATCAACTTCGAAAAGGCTTTGTTTACCATCAATCACAGCGGCTATTGAAAAAGAATGTGACAAGGATGTAGCAAAAGAAAAGGATGGTGAGAAGTTTGGCGATGTTGGAGACTTGGAAGGACATCAAAAAGATGGCGAGAAGGATCAGGCTACTGCTACTTAAAAGTTATTTGCAGAGATACTTTGTTTTCGTTTTTTATATTAGTTTTAAGATTTTATTCCAATAAAGTAGTATGGTTTTTTCATGTTTGGTTATAGTTTGTTGCATTGGCAATAAGTTATAACACAAACATTTTTCCATACTACTAGCAATATTGTATTTCTGGTTTTTTACTTATTCTGGTTTAAAGATTTTCAATGCTAAGATGTTTTTATTTCATTGAAGTTCTTTGATTATCATAATACTTTGACACCAAACATTGAAAATCTTGTGAAAAAACAAAGTGTTAAGCATATTTTATAAATGATATGCTTAACATGTCTACCACATACTATAGCACAAAAAATCGGAACACCATGGAAAGAGGAAATGAATTTTTTCACGTTAATACAACTAATTGGTTTTATTAATTTCAAAGTTTTGTGCATCTCGAGAATTTTAACGGATGAGTTTCATGGAATAACATAAACGACATATATTGTTTTTCAAGAATCCTATTTTATTTTCTAATCTAACACGTTTTTGTATTTTTGGTCCAAACGAAATCTTAGGTTGCTATATATTCTACAACCTTAACATATTAGTATTAGTTTATTCTAAAATAACTAGGTAATAAAAAAATAACATATTTAGTTAAGATCTCATACCTTTGAATTGCCGTACATAACGCCGTCAGAATTATGTACCATGATTTGATAATAGAAAATTACCCCTACAACAAAGGAAATTAGTAAAAATCTTAGTTTAACTTCTAAAAATAACTACAACAATAATTTCGATGTTACACAAAAAAAATATAAAAGAATATATGGCTGATAAGATATTACTTCTGAAATATCTATATCCCATTTCAACTACTATAGTATAAATCTGTATTGTTTAAGCCGGAACATCTTAAGTTTAGATGATAAACCTAAAATTTAACAATGAAGAAGAGAAAAAGCGATTTTGCATCTTCATCAAAAAGGGCAGCACATCTCAAATACACAAAGACAGTGACATCACCTATTGATAAGGAGAATAAAAATCCCAATCTACAGGACAATCCTCATAGTAGTATTGAAGTTAGATCAATTTTTAAAAGAGTCTTCTCTGATCTGATTCAGAGTCCTATGCATGGCGCAAGTTTTATGAAACTCCCAGAGCATGCATCTTCTCCTCAAATTGCATTGGATTTATCTGGTATGACAAGCTAACATTTATGACTATTACAGTCCACAAATGTTGTTATATAAAACTCAGATTTAGTCTAATGTAACAAATAATTACATATTATATTTTGTGATCTCGATTCCAACCAGGTTCTACTAGGGATTCTGTAAGGACAAGGACAGTTCTTGGTGATTTAACTAACCAAATTCCAGTACCTAGACATGGAACTGTACCAACATCATCCAAAAGAAAACAAACAAGCTACGGTCTTAAATGTTATAAGCAAGATCATAAAACACCTACGAAATTCTAATTGACACTAAATTGTACATTTTTGTAATATTTGATGTAAACAGAGAATACATGCAGTACAGTGTGTCAACAGTCCCCAATCTATAGCAGTGTAACCAATAGAGAAGCTATTTT